ATAGTAGAATATTGGTCTTTCCAGTATAACAAAAGTTTTAAATAAAATTAAAAAAATTAARTTCAAATCAGTTTAGCTAATTTACAACTTCCAATAATTTTCATGACGAGTCACCATCCCTAGAAACAAAACTAAAACCATAATAATGATATTAATACATACATTTGTAATTATTTGTATAATAAACCTAGGCTATATAGTACTRATGATTGCAACTATAGGTAATTTATATTTAAAGAAATTCATGAATTAGCATTCTTACATCCATTGTCACATATTTACTATAGTATAACTTTTGCCATTCTTATTTTTACCGATTAAATTTAACTATAAAATATTTRTATAACATTCAGATTTTTGTTAAAGCCTGAAGTACAATAATCATTTAGTGTTTAACCCAGGCCCGTATACAGGGGGGGATTTAGGAGTTCAACCCCCCCCCAAATTTTTTAAAGTAGTTATATATTTATAATATGTTATCACAATCTTGTCAGAAGACGGACTTTAAATATTTTTAACCTATTATTGCCTGAAAATTGATCTTGGATACATGATTGGTTTTACCTAACTATTTTATAAACTCTAAAATTTACCAATATCAATTGCAATTTGAGCATTTACCATCATCAGTCTATAATATTAATGGTATTCAAGCTCATACACCAACATAATATTTAATATTAAATAATCATTTACTTATAAATTTAAATAACTTGCATAACTTCAGGCAATAATATTTAATATATTAAGATTAATCACCTTTCAGATAATAATCCATGTTGTGATAAAATTCCTCTCAATTCTTCATTTTCCATTCTTAATTCATCATTTTGCCTATTAACGGCCTCCATTTGTTTCACACAATCCATCAATCTTTGATTAGTTGATTTTAATTCATTAATATAATCGCATGCTTTAGCTAGAATTCCTCCTTTGCTCTAGAATAAATAATGGTTATTTATAATAATTATTGATAAAAAAAATGTAAATATTAATTAATTATTTTGATTTTTAATTAATAGGTACCTAATTTATTAATTAATATTTAATAAATAAGAAGTTTACTACAAATAAATTATAAAATMATTATAAATTCAATTTTAACTATGAAGGAAAATTAATTCCAAAATACAGTCATATTTAACACTTAGGTTGGTAAATAACAGTTGAACTTAAAGCAATAATTAAATAAAAATTATGAATTTTTTTTAACCAATGATGAAAATATTAATATACAACCATACAATTAGTAATACGGGCAATTTTCTTCATATCATTTAGACATCTTTTTCTATGCATAAAATGAAAACAAAACCGACACATCTACTCTTTTAAGCTGCATGTAACAAGCATACTATTTAGTAGTATTATCAACTTTTTTGTAATCATTTCTTAAACAAAAGTTATATATAACAAAAAAAAWTTAATATATCATTAAAAGGATCATAAGTTTTACCTGGTTATCATAATTAGTTTTGTTTTCTTCTGCACAATCTGGTATAATTTTGCTCATATACATTATCCATTGATTTATTTTATCACGTCTTCGACGTTCTACTTCATTATGTGTTAATCGTCTTTTAGCATCCCTCTTTAAACATAATCAGACATTTTCTTTAAGCATTTAAGTTAATTTATCAATAGTATGAATTTATAGTTAACAATATAATATATAMGCTTTAAAATAATAAAAAATAATTGATATTTATTTCACATATTTAACCACTTCACTGCTACATTATTTATGCTCAGTAACCTGTGTATACTAAATAAAATAAAATACTTTTTATTTAATCTATTAAATTTTTTYAATTTAATTTTTATATCTATATGTATGATTATTTAAGTTGAAAATAATGTGAGCCAATGTTTCTAAAGTTGTACAGTTATCTGCAAATAATATTATATGATAAAATGACATAATAACACGTCTAGAGCAGTGAATGGAGCAAATGTTTTGTGTGTAATAGTATGTCTGGGGCATTGAAAGAGTTAATGATGAAATACTCAAATACATATTATGATCCTAGTATTTAAATAAATGTTGAGTTACTTACTGTTACAACAGTACGATCTACTCGTTTTCTGGAAACTTCACTAGTAAGWGGTACAATTGGTCTTTTAACAGTTGTTGTAGTTGTAAATAAATCATTAATTGGTTGTACAACAAAAAATTGAGCTTCAAACAATTAAATATATACATGTTATACATGTGATATATAATTAAACTAAATACTAAATGTATAGACTACTTACTAGCATTATTGTTTGGTCTGAGCTCATATTGTGTAATGTTTGTGTCGTTGGTTTTACTCATAACAATTCCAGTGACATTACCATTTTCTAAGACAGCAGCAGTAGGTTGTTCATCAGCAGATTCAAGAGATCCATCATCGTCAGTTACGATTAAGGTTTGTGCACCAAGAATATTTGATTCTAACTTAATAAGTTGACCATTGTGTGCCACTTTATATGTATTACTATAATACAAATTAAAATTAAAATTATAAATATATTCATTTAAAAAACTATTTAACCTTGATATTTACAATTCAAAGCAAGTTATTTTAAAACAAGTATTTAATTAATAAAATAT